AGGAAAAAAATGCATAGAAGTAGACGATTTAGTAAGTTAAAGGAAAGAAAGTAGAAACGAATAGAAACAAAAAATCAGATGTGCAAATACTCACATTGGATGTCAAAGTTCCATAAATAAACTGATATGTAGCGATAAATCCAAAGCGTCAGTAACAAAGTATACGATATAAGAAAGCAGTTAGTTTCTGATCACTTACTCCAAGTGAGGTCTTGCCGAAAATAAAACTTCTCATTTGGCATTCTTCTTTCGGTAAGCATGTCTGTCTTCGCCAATCTTTGAAATTTAATTGGACTGATTTCTTGTGTTGCCCCCGCTTTAGACGACCCCTTTAAAACACATGACTGCTCCCCGAATGTTAAAAAAATATATTGACATTACAACAATAAGACACTGCCAACGGAAGTAAGCTATTGAACAATGTGTGCGCGCTTATCGCTGCGCTCGCTCTATGATCAATATGCACACACGCACAGAAGTTTGCATTTCAATCTTCTTTGTGAATTGAAACACAAAGAACTAACTATTCCTTTTTCGTGATTGTCTGACACTTGGCAAGCGTCAGGGCGTCAAGCATTAGATCGTTATCTACAACTCTATCTAGCATTACTGTTTTGATGAACCAATAAATCCAACGCTAAGCACTGATAAAATCGGAACAAGCTACAGGTCGACGGAAAGTATAGATGCAACATAGCACTCAATGCCAAGGCGTCGCATTTGTGGAAATTTTACTGCACCCTGTAAGTATACACGAATATTTCCGTCAGGGGTAAAGTTACACTGCGTGTATTAAAAATTATTACGAAAAAAATTCCATAAATATGCTGTCGTTTACGTTTCGACAAAATACAATCGTATTTTTAAACAGGTTACAACCTGACTCGTAATGAATGGACAATCTCTTAAACTTTTTCCGACTATTTTTTTTTTTACCTGCTAGCATTACTAGCACAGTATGTTGAATATAGGCGCTCTGATATAGATGCTCCATTAATATATGTATGCTAATTTGAGCGCTCTGTTTAAACTTTTAAACCAGTGACGAAATGCGGGACGCGCTATATGTACGCATATACTTTTTCCATTTCTCACTGCTTTAAACAAAATTATCCCGGTATGTTGCTTCATCTTCACTAATTGCTCATAAATTACAACTAGCGTTATGGTCCAGGGGTGACTTATATGCACGGTTATAATTGTTACGTTTATATACAACGCTATGTTAATATTGGTTGATAGTCACTTTGCGAATAAAATATTTAGCTCACTTACTCCATTGGCAACAAGCGTGCTTGCAAAAGAATTAGATTGTATTGTAAAATAAGACAATAAATTGTTATTGTGAGGCGTAGGAGGAAATATTGCAAAAGGTTATCAAATACGTAGGCACTTTTATTTTGATGTATCGCGTCGTAATAATCCTACAGTGTCGATTTCGTCTTTTGTATACACTTCTGAGTATTGTCGGAGAATTCGTAAAATACTGGATGTAACTTAGCTACATCAAATGGATGGTGTAGTGTTAAAGACGTCGACGTTTTTGTTAACTAAACTCTTCTTTGTGGAGGGAATGCCTTGCCAAATGAAGCAGGATGATAAATCGAAGAGTCTAAAAATAATTACTTGGTAAGTTATGTGGACGAGTGAAGAATTAGCTAGTGTTTTTAAAAGTGCTTACCAGCTTTTGTATAATGTTGTCGAACATAAAAGTTATTTAATAACTTTTAAGTTGTTTTTAATACAATACAGACTATGATTCATAATACAATAATTATCGGGTTTTGTTACCGAATACAATACAAATACAGCGTCTCATTTTAGTAATAAGAAGAACAATTTTCATTGCATAATGAGGCTAAATATATTGTCCATTTGCGGCCCGAATATTTCTTGATTGCTCTTATAAGTATTCCATTTTTTTATTTCCAAATCGTTGAAAATGACATAAGAGAAAGTCGAACTCAAAGATCAATTTTTCAAAGTCTTCCAAAATATTATACGAAGCAGATATAATAATAACATGACACTGTTATGGTCACCTGAGGATTTTTTTAACGAAAAATATGTCAAGTTGACGAAATTTATTGAATACGATCAAGTAGATAGAACAATATTTGCTTAATGGACGCTTCAAAATCCAAACGACGTGGAATATGACATAGTAATAGTACACGCCCAGCCGACGTCAGAAAGTAAATTAGCCATGGTCTTTTATACGAACGCATCGTCGGGTTTTTATTTTGATCCAACAATAGATCAACTGGAAGCATTCGAGTCTAATAAGACAAAATATCCAAGCGATGGACTTGAGACAACATATACTCTCGTCTAGTGCAGCTTACACAATGGATGGAGCTTCTTGAAAAAAATAGAGTGATTAAACATAATACAGACATAGAGCTACATGTAACTGCAATTTTTCGATGTAAATCTAATAAATGTATTATGTAAACTATAATGAGTTTAGGGACAATGGGTGCTTCGATATGTTGTATATATACAACTTGTCATTCACAGTCGAGTCGCAAACTTTATTTATTTGATTGCGTATGACATACAAATTATTTATGTTATCATACATATTTTGCAATAATATATTGATACCCGTGTTGATCACATTTAACCGTCACGAATATTTAATTTTTTTCGTCGTCTTCGTAACATTCTGACGGAAAATACAAAATTAGGCCAGCAATCTTGACCAGACTGAGTCTTTTTCGCAAATTTCTCACAAATATAACAGTCTACCTTCATATTGAATCGGGCGATTTCCACTTGAAATGAATTAATATTAAGTTCGTTGATTTCTGTTTCATGTAACGCGAAGACTTTTAATAGTACCAACTGTATGTGTGGTACTATCATCAAATGACAATAGATTTACATGAGTTGATGAGCAAGAGAATTTCATTATGCAAATGCTGTAACATTCGAATCGCAGTCATTATAAAAAAATATCAGCAATGTCGCAGATTATTGTTAAAGGTTCTAGCAATATTACACGAGTTAGATAAATAGAACTTATTTCTAATAATATCTAAGTGGACGTATTAGCGTATACATAATTGTATATATCCTCACCGGATTATTTGTTAGTCTTTTAAATTCGAATAGGCACGGCAAGTGTTTTATTTTCTCAACCATACAACGAGACATACTTGTTATTTTTTTCTTTAAAAAATTAAGCTACTTTGTCTTTCAACAGTCGAAATATAAATTATGTCTGAATGTAAAAACATTCGTAAATAAGCAGATTGAGATAAAGTCTTGGTTTAACTTCCAAATTGCAATTGTATTAGTTGACTTGGTACTAAGATAGCCATGCAAGTTAGGATGCCATAGCTATAGGCACGTACGAAACAGCCACAATTACGAACGTCGTCTTCAGTGAGGAAAAATAGTAACACGCGCGTAACAATAAAAGGTCTAGAGGCAAAGAAAAGCTGAGAAACTTGGGCCTAATATAATTAGTAAAACTGCAGAGTGTTAAACTGAACTATTTCTCATAGTTAAATTGTTTATGTACAGCTGCAATAGTAGCAATACAATTGTCACGAAAAATGTTTTACGGCATATGAAATGTACAAAGTACGTTGTAACACAATGTATTTTCTCTTTGAGCAAGAAGTAATTAGCTAAGCTCTGTCTTCACAAACAAACCGTTTCTTATCGAATCAGAATAGATTTACCCAATTAAATTAGAAATCTTGTGAATTATTCGCCTTTTTTCTGCCACCGCTCAAAAGTTCTTATCATTTAATGAATAGCATGCAGTTAAATCAAGATCAAACAGTTGGAGTCGTCACCTAAAAAGCTAATCAAATGTTTCTTTACGACTACTACAAAGAATTTACATTCTCATCGTTAGTAATTTTCCTGACTGATCAGCACCGCAGTATACGGCGCGTAACAAAACAAATATCATTACATACAAATTATGCTTTGTCAATTTGTAATGCTTTTACTTTAAAAAGACATACAATATTAAACAGTAATCAGCATGTAACGATTGTAATTTGCTCAACTCTTATTAATTTACATGTTTATTGCAGCAAGCTGACCCCTAGTTTAGTACAAACAATTTGACATCTCTTTAATAAATTGCTTATGTATACCTATCCAGAAGATATACTGTATAACATGTGTACGATATTTTTTTTAACAATTTGTATCTGTCATTATTCACTGCTCGATACTCAATAAAAGAAATATCCTGTATATACAGTATGATGTTCCAAAACCGGCTACCGCTTGTGAGAGTTGGCAACAAATTACCAAGTTAACGCTAATAGTATTCTTTAAACCGCAAAGTTTACGCAAGATGACGTTTATTTATAATAAAGTAGTTATTCTCTGAATAATGGTAGAGTTTGCCCATACGTCAAGCTAGTGTATAATAAATATGATAAAACGATCGTAATTTTTACCAATATTACTAACAAATGCATATTATAGAAAGGAGTATGCCGGATAATTGAATAACGTCTTTCTAAAACTATTATTCTTGTATACAGTTTACTAATTTAGAGCAAAGTTTTATATCTGCAACGTTCAATAATCAACTGTGGTAATATATGTTTTAGATCAGATTTGGACAATAAGATTGGGTATAAACATATTTAAATATGCACGCATATCGTTATTATTGATTTACAACACACATGTCTGTAAACTAAGGTTGTGCGCACACAAATATTTAACAATTCTGTGAGCTTAAAGCGATAGCTACTGATTTTTATTAAAAGATTTACTTTTGTAATTAATAAAGAGTAAATAACAACATGTCGATAATTGGTAAAAATATATATAACAAATATGTTGAGAAACAAATACAGTATTAGAAAAAACGCACAAAAGTTAGTTTTTGCGGGCTGATGTTTTAAATGTGATTGTGTAATATCATGTTTAAATTCTAGCGCCATCTAAATATGGCAATTAACAATAATATAATTACACTCAAAACATGTATGTTTATCAAAATTGCACTCAATATAAACTCATGACAAAGTAGCCATCTGAGAAAGTTGTTTTGTAGAAACTGCAGTAGGAATATTTACATGAATCGTGTGAGCGGTACGAGCAGACAGTCCGTCATGAATTTCAATTACCAACTCTGCATGTTCAGCGTATTTCGGTGTAGCCTTTCCTTTACCGTTAGACTCTATATTTACGCTGTAATGAGTGAGAACGTCACGCCATACGAGTTTCCAATTAGCGGTTGGGTATGCCGCCAGATTGATTTTATCGAGCAGAGGTTGCATGGCCTGTTTGAATGCGTTGGCACGATTCTTTGCCACGTTGTCGGCTATTTTTCGCCCCGCCAAAAACGCAATGCCAGCCAAGAGATGGAGGACGACACAGGCAAGACGAAGACTCGATACGCTGCTTCCTTGAAACGACGCAGTGAACGTAATCAACACGAGGGTGAGGAGAGTAAACCCGTACAGTCCTCCGAAAATGTACGAGAGTATTTTCTTTGATTTTGTACTCAGCAAAGGGTAAGCTTTGATATAGTCATTGATCGTTTTCAGTTGCTTTTGAAATTCGTCGGCGCTAAGGTACCCGTACAAGTCAAGACACCAATTTGCCTTAAAGCTATGGGTAGGTGCGAAACAGTCACAACCAGAAACGTCGTCTTCGGTGAGGGGAATAATAACAAACTTCATTGTAAGTGTAATGATAAAAGGCTTTAGAGGATGGGGAAAAAAACCCGGGAGATTGGGGCTTTATATATTAGCAAACTTGCAGAGTACTGTTTATGTACAGCGACTGGCAGAGTATAATAAAGTGTATGCATAACGGCAACATTTCAAATAGTAGACGCAATGTATTTCCTCTTTGAGTAAAAAATCAATTACCTAATTGTATTTTTAAGCTTTGTCTATCCAAACAAAATCACGAATCAGAATCAGAAATTTTGCTATCTATTCGCCTTTTCTGTCCCAAAAACGCTCTTGTGCTAACGACAAGCCCACATTAAAATTTTCAAGACTTTACTGATTGGAGTCGTTACGTAAAAATTAGACAGCTGCTTTTCGACAACTATACAGATGATTCATTGTTTGTTCTAATCAGTTGTTACGGGTGATCGGTCGGGGTCATAGCTTTTTTCCCAGGCTAATATTTGATCTGCACACGCAGCGTACAGTGAAGTGCAACACACAATTACGCTTTGTCAATTTGTGACGTTTGCAGTTAAGAAAGCATATGATTCGTACATTGTTGAATGTAATCAACATAGTAAGCGATTACAATTTTGCTCAACCATTATTAATTCACATGTTTGTTACAGTGAGCTGACCAAGTTTATTGTGGAATAATCTAACATCTCTTTCATAAATTACTTTAATTCTTTTAATTTGCTTGGTATATCCGTTTCTTAACGCTGTGTCAAAGTTTAATTAAAGTATTAGATTAGACTGTCGATGCATTTTCCTGAAGAAAAATCCTTGGAATTTCACTGTATACTTGGAAAGATCGCATTACATTATTAGAACATTACCCTTTCTCAATAATTCGGTCAACGTTCCCCCTTTGCACAAAAAATTCCAAGCCAAGTTTTCGCCCAATGCTTTTGCAGAGAATATGTTTGTCTTTCAATACTGTGTCACGTTTTTAAATTTCAATTTAATAAGTGCTACATTCCACTGACTATCAGCTTTGTTTCTCTTTAAGTAGTAAACTTTTGCATGGCTTACACGTTAGTCGTTCAAATGTGCAGCTCATTAATATTTTTGCCGATTTGTTATCTTCTCCACAGCTACTCAAACTTGGTATCCGAACGAACTTTTTCTCACGGTCGGTTGCACATAACATCTACTCTGCTGTTCTCCCATTATAGGATATCCTATTACTCGGCACGACCGAATTTTATTAAGCAGATAGTCATATGCTATATATTTAAATAGATAGTTCGAAAACTTTTTGTAATTGGTCATTTTTTTAAACTTGTCTTTCATAAGAAATTATGTTAGTTTGCCATCCCGTATTAGTGTCTTACATAATCGCGGTGAAAGTTTCACCAGAATTTTTGTTTGCATGGCTTCCCCTTAAGTTGTTGGGAGCATTTGATTTCATAATAATAAGTGTAGTACAGGCTGGCGCTCACTCGTTGAATAAAGTTCTAACAATAACAAATAAGTTTCCAACAAAGTATTATTATTTATGAATAGATTATGTTGAGAAAAGTCATTATCAAGTAACCAAATACTATGTTGTCGTTTAAGCATTGATATAGATTCACTTTCCAAGACATACGCTGAATAAAGACATGTGTTTTAAGCCAATCAGTACGGTGTAACCAAAGACTATCACTGGCGCTTAAAGTCTGGTAAAGAAATTGACATTTATGTTAGCAATCGCAGATGTGATTGGTGATCTATGTTTCAAAAGCATAGACCAAAATCATACGACCAAAATCATACGACCAAACTTTGATCTCTGTGATGATAAATAAAGTATTTCTTTCGAGACACATTTGTGGAGAAAATTTGTGCAACTATTATGTAAACAGTCTAGAACAAATATACGCACGTACTGTATATGCGGCATTACACAAACCGATTTTGTAGTTAGAATACAATATCTTTGCTAGAATAATCGATTCACTAACTTAATTTTTATCGCATAAATTTTTAATAAAAATGTTTTCATCAAAAAAAAGCAACTTTAAATAAGCAAAGCATCCGTCGTGATGTTAAGAAGATGGGTCGATTTAATCGATTGTCTTTGCCTTAACAAACTCTAATAAAGTGTGGTAAAATAACTATAAGATTGGCAAGTTAACAACTATAAATTACCGCGGTATATTACCATGCATACCCGGTATCTTGCTAATACCGTGTTGACAGCAAAGTAATACTGCATCTTAAGAGAATAAATATGTTGACATTGGTATATTAATTAAAAAATCTCTTTTCAATTAACGTGTCCCAGTCAACAGTTTTAAAAAAGACGCTATTTTTAAATTTTGCCAGGTTAATTCATACTACTAAAGATTAAAAGTAATTCACGCAGACTTACCGTTCATAAACTGATAGAGATTATGGAAAATGTGTTTTTACGATACAACTAGTAACCAGAGTTGCGGGTCTTCACCCGTGACGTAGATCGATAATCAATTGGTAACCACATTTACGAAAGTCTTGGTACATAAATTTTAAGTTAGAAAAAAGAATTAGACATTATATGTGTTTGTAAACGAGAAATTATTGCTACTTATAAACATTCGTGTATGCGACTTGAATTAGCAAAGCATTGACCTGATTATTGTTTCTATCCAAGGCGTGTGACATTTAATTTTATACAATAGATAATCTGTAGATAATCCTATACTGCAAAATGAAAAATTATTGTATTTTACTACTTATAAAGCGTACTATTATCTTACTTATACAATATTGATACAATACGAGAGAGGAAAACACATTCACATTGATTAATTGATTGGATTATAACATAGGTATAAATAATATCTAATTGGCAAAACGTCAAGTTTTTATATATAGGCATGATTTCCTTTAATTAATTCTTATGATCGAACTACCACTAATAGCTTGAGCAGTTAGTACTAGCCAAACATATGCGTAGTATATTTAATGTATTCTACGTTTCTCCGTTCTATTGCTACTGCTAGTGTTTTTTTTTCAGTATGGCATATTTTTCACCCAATGTTAATACGGGCACAGGTAAAAAACAAATTGCGAGCGAGGTCTAAAAATCCAAGCGTTAAAGACGGTAGGGGCAACGTAACCAGGTTTGGGCGAGAGCTTACTGTAAGCAATAAGTAATATTTGGCGTTAGCGGACTAACATGTACGCACGCTAGTTCATTTGTCATGCAGACCAAGTTCAAAACTGTCAATGCTAATATCAAAGTTTTATTAGAGAGAATCCATCTTGTGATTCTCATATTTTAACACAATGTTGATATTAAAATGTGATTGTAAAACGACTACAACATTACAAAATATGCACACAATTGGTAGAAAATTACAAAGTTAGGATAGAATACATAACAAATCCGGAGCCAACTGTCAAGTTTTGTCGGCTGTATAACTATTTGTTTAAAAGTCTAATATGTAGATAATAATATGTTTGGCAAAAAAAAATACTCTGTTTCGATATATATGCTCATTGCACATTAATCATTTGAGGAGCGTAGACAACACCGTTGTTAGCATACGCCATTGGAGCTGCAGTATTAATAGGAGCAAGATTTACTCGAACAGTTTGAGCGGTAAGATCGGAGAGAGCGTCATTGATTTCAATCACCAACTCTGCATGCTCAGCGAATTTAGGTACAGCCGACCCTTTACCATTCGACTTCATATTGATGCTATAATGGGTGAGGAC